TTGCAGAGAAACGGTACAGATTCGGCGACGACAGGAATTCATTCGACTTTACGCTCAAGAAACGATGGTCGAGGCACATAAACATGAACGTTAAATGCCCGTAAAGTAAAAGTCATATATATATATATATATATATAAAGTTCTAATAAAAACAAGTTGGAGTAAGCTTATAGAGAAATTTAGTAAAAGAGCTTTCATAACCACGGCTTTTCTTTACTGTTTCATTATATATAATCTATACAGTAATTTCTCTCGTAATAATATTCAACACATTTTAAATGAAAGTATTATGAAATAAAAACTTAAAATATTATACGTTCATTATCAGTTATAATTATGATTAAATCTCCTCATTAAATAATTAATTAAAATACAGTAAAAATTACAGCTGTTGTGTGTGTACGATATAGTTTATTTATATTCATAAACGTGTTCATATAAATGATAAAAATTTCGAAATGTTTAAAACAAACTTTTTGAAACTAAAAGAATTAAAAAATTAAAATGTCTAAATTATACGTCGTTACGATGAAAAGATTGACTTTTTGCTTCGACAAAAATGTCTCTGTCTATGGTGAATATGTCTTAATTTTCAGACACGCAGAGGAAGGAAATATTGCAATAGAGCTAAGTTACATTACCCAAAAACAGTAAAAATTTCGAAATGTTTAAAACAAACTTTTTGAAACTAAAAGAATTAAAAAATTAAAATGTCTAAATTATACGTCGTTACGATGAAAAGATTGACTTTTTGCTTCGACAAAAATGTCTCCGTCCATGGTGAAATATGTCTTAATTCCCAGACACGCAGAGAAAAGGAATATTGCAATAGGGCTAAGTTACATTACCCAAAAACAGTAACAATGTCACCCAAGGGGGTCGAGCAACCAGTAACTTTACATCGCGCACGTCCGCCCGACTCGTTCTCCCCAACTTCCACTTCCACGTGAAGGAATTCTAGTTGGAAACGCGGAATCTCGGGTACGCGAGTACGAACGACAGGAATGGTTCGAACCCGTTGAAACTGCTTGGTGTTCCCGCAAGCAGTATCCCCTTTTATTCCCCGGGAGATTTTTGCGAGACCTTCACTTCGACTGCACTCCATCCGGAAGCTCCTTTCTCATCCTCGAGATAAGGCATCTCAATTTCAGCGGCACCCTCTCTCTTCCCTACGGCGCCTCTGTCGCCGCCTTTCTCCTCCGCGGGGGATCGTCTTTAACTCGATATATAACCGAACCGCAAAATATCGATCCTGGCAATTGCTGGTTCGTTGCCGAAGTGCTTCGCTCCTACGCGGTATGACCTCTCGATCGAGTCGAAACACAGTTACCTTGGCTTTCAGAAGAGGATCGCGAAGCCGTCATTGGGGGATCGAACGTGGGAAATAAGGTGCTTGCTGTGTTTTCGTTGTAAGATTCAATGAGACAGATTCAATTCGACAACTTGGTCAACCTGGCTGCTTGGACATATTTTGAGATAAAGATATATATATATTTATTTATTTATTTAAAAGAAAATATTCAGCAAAAATTTGAGATGGTAATTTTATAAGAATAATCAATGATTATTCGCGTAACGTTTTCAAATTTGCATCCATATAAAAAATTGTGTGCGAAATTAGATTTCTACACAATTATAATAAATAATACATATATATATATATATATATATAACCTGATTAAAAATTACAGCACAGAGTATAATTGTTTTTGAAATCATCATCTACCGATTCTACAAGGTTTCCAATCAAACAAAATTCCAGTTCAAATTCAGACCAGAGAATACTCAATTTTATTATATTATAAATTTGATATTAGTAAAATCACTGATAATATAATATGTGAAAATACGTTGCGATATATTTATTTACATACAATATCATATAAATTAACATAAAATAATGTTGAATAATAAATATATATTATATATAAATTGCTAGCAACTGTAAAAAAGAGAAAAAGAAATAGAGAGAAGCTTTATTATTTCACTATTAAATAAGAATCTGTGACGCTTTAATTTCACTCCTTCAACAACTCTCTCGAAAGCACTAATTCTTCCTTCGTTAGGAAAAGACATTAGAACCAGCGACAACATCGGTTGACGACTAGCAAGTTTCGAACATCCTAAAGAAGCTTCGGCTACGCCAACTTGGGTGTCCTTTTAAGCCAAGGCAAAGTGGCGAGTTCGACCCCAGCTCGACACCCGCTGCTACTCCTCGCTTATCCTACTCAAGTTGGAAAATAGAATCGAGAGATGCTACTTGTAAGAAAGAGAGAAAAAGAGAGAAACACAGGAGAGGACTTGCTTTCGTGCAGCAGCTGTCAGATACTCCCATGCATTTATCAAATAAAATAACTTTGCCTTTTTGTTTTTTTCGTCTGACTTTACGGTTCCGTTCGCAATACGGTAACTAAAATCGCACATGCTCTACATCTTCGCGCAGACTCGTTTTCCCATTATCTATTAAAAAGATTATGCTTTATTTTAATATAAAAGAAATTCGTTAAATAGTTTTTCGATTAATTTCACGACTTTTCCTCGAAATGTCTATAGTTAAGTTCCTTTATTTTCGCGGCTTCTGAATAATACCGGAACGACAACGACAAATATACATACGTTCAACTTTCTGCTTGACAGTACCTTGTTCGCGACGCTGGTTTATCGTGAATCATGCGGTTATGGCGCGAGCTGTGAATTTAAATTGAGAGTGAGAAACGGCGTGAGAAAAGGTAGCGTATGCCTCCTACGTGCATCTTCGCGCTGCACGTACACGCTGTTTATGCAAGAAATCTCTTTTAGTAGTTTGATCCTTTGTTGTCTAAGTTATGAGATCAGCTGAGAAGCCTCCGACGACTGAGGTGTATATAAGTGACATTTAACTCTTTATACAATATTATACTCTGCGCTTTTCTATTAAACATTGATAATTATTCGTTCATTTGTTGTAAATATTATAATATTCGATGTAAATTTTTCATATTTTTATTCACATTTATACTTCATAAAATATTGTATTTTTATAACTTGATTATTATTGCATTTTTTAAATTCTTTTGATTATAAAAATTAATTGAGATTTAAATACATAGAACAAAGCTCTTTAAGACCTTTAAATTTGACATTAGAAGAAATAAAACAGATTACGTGTCATCACTTATATCATTTTATATCGATATGCGTAATTCGATATATTCGAAATTATACGCAAATCATAGTGGAAACATTTCATTATTAAATAAAAATTTGTATAAAAATCAATTAACTTGTATATAAACTCATTTTAATTACAACACTTAACTTGTAAATCTTCAAATAATTATATAATAATTTCAATAAATTTTTTTAAAAATCAAGTTTAACTTGACTAGAAACAGAAGAACTCGATTAAAGAACACAAAAAAGTTTGCACGACGATTGCTCCGAAGGGAAGGTTTTGTGCATTGCATACCGTCTTATGTGATATATTTACAGTTACACGGACGAATATCTCTCCCTGCATGGGGTAGGAAAGCAAGCTTGATGGTGGAAAGAGCGGAAAAAGGTGCAAAACTTTCTCACTAAATAAAAATTCCAGATTCCGCCTCATAAGTTTTCAACACGAGAAACTCTGTTTACGGAAATCCCTACGCGGAAAACGCAGTGGGTGCTTTGTATATCTGAGTATAACGTGGTCTTCTGCAAGACCAGCATTAAAATTAATGGCTTGACGTCCTTGCTTCAGCAGGTGGTGTTATTTTAAACGTCACCTGACCTATCTCACTGCTACCTTCGTTAATATTCAGCCTGATGTTCAAAGTATCAGTTTCAACGAAAATGAATATACGTTTTTGTGCGTATGTATTAGTTATAATTATATTTAAAAAAAAAAGAAAAATTACAAAAACGTTATATATATTTTTTGGTTACAATGGATATCGATATTGCGGAGTAATAATTATTTTACGATTATTTTATTCATATTTTGGGAGATTTGCGTAAAGCTATCAAGTTTGATAAATTGAAATTTTCATATTAGCAGCCAACGCGCGGATGGAATTAGATAGCTTCGCTCGGTAAAAAAAAAACCGATGAGCATCCGATTCTCGTAATCCAGAATTTGTCTTTTCGCTATCGCATTTCAACGTTCACATATTTTTCATCGTTTCCGTCATCCGGAAAAAATTATTATTTCCAATATTTTATTCATATTTCCAATATTTTAACTTACCCACAGCTCCCAAATCCCGGAAGAGGACTATCCTATTATCCTTGCGATTTTTAGATGTAACCCGGAGCAACTGACTGTACCAAACGACCGCCATCTGCTTTGCATATTGCCATTGCGAACGTATGTATAAGATTTGCCGTGATGTCTGTTCGATATCGGTTCACTTTGAATACGAATCACTTGGTATATGTGATTTACATCGATCACGAATTTCACGAACAATATATACATACATGTAACTTTTTATTTATATTCTCGTTTATATGTTTTAATGGAACTGTTGCGCCGATTAATAATTATTTTATTAAATTTTCTGCACTATGAAGTATTTCGAAATCACAATTCAATTCGCGTAAAAGATTGTTCGAGCACAGCCGAGTCGCGACTACTTCGTGTTTTATCCGTCCTGCACGTAATTTGTTTATAAACAAATGTCGGAAGTGCGACTTCCGACAGACGAACGATCGTCTCACAATCACTCTGTCAACTATCTATAATCCTCGTGACTGACGCGTCACTCTCGATACTACAGATAATCGATTCTCTGTTCTCCGCGCGATATATCGAACGATCGATATTTTTTAATATATACATATATACACGCATATATTTAGATCACCAAAAATAATTGTCAAACTCAATAAGTGAAAAGAAGCAAGAGATTCAATCTTTTATATCAGAATTTAATTATTTCTACGATATTAATATTCATAATAGCGTCGCGTCGCTAAGGAATTTTGAATGCCGCGTAAAATTGAGCGAACCGCGCAACCGTGACGTAATCACGGAAGAGTCGCGCAGTTCGTGTCATAAGTTATTAGCGCGTAGTTGAATGGCGACATTGCTCCGAGTTTTCACATTTTTTATTCGTTCCACGCGTATTTGTTATATAAACGAAACGCGATCTGACAGGCAAACAATCATCTGTCTATCGATTGTCATCAGGACTGATGCATCTCTCCCGATATCAAGGTAATTAGTCCTGTATCCTTCGTAATTAACCAATCGAGCATTCATCGAAACGATCGATGATTTTTAATGCACTCATATATTTCGTAGTTCGCCAAAAATAATTATCGAACAAGAAAATCGGAAGATTCAATCTTTCATTATACTTGAACTAGTTCAATGATATTCATATGTAGTATTCATAATAGCACGACCGTGACGTAATCTTGAAAGGGTCACGTGGTAGCGTTCCTAGTCAAGTGGCGACAGTGTTTTCGCGCTTTGTGTATCCATTTCGGGCAAGTCTTGTTTATAAACAAACGTCGGCGTTGAATCTACAGACGAGCGATCGTTTCAGTCGGTCAATGACTGCACAGTTGGTCGCATTTCTCTCGATACAAAGGTAATCGATCCCCTCTGTTCTCCGCAAATATAATTAGCATCCCTTGTTCCGCGCTTCATTGATCGAGCACTCGTCGAAACGATCAATATTTTCATACACAGTAGGTATATAATTTACCGAAAACGTATATCGAATAAACTCAATCTTTCGTTATAAATAATTATCTCTATTATTGCAGAATTTTTTGTCTCAATGAGGCGTCGCGGGAAAACGTGGGAAAGCGCGCCTAATCTTGATACTCATCTCTATAGTATGACACAATATTGACGTCGTTCGCGAATGTCAAGTCTCGATCGTTCCGGTATGTTTAGTCGAGGTAGTTAACGATCGTCCTCGTGTATTAATTATCGCGTTATTTGCTCAATACGATCGCGAACGTGCCTCTCAGTATTTATAACCCATAACACGTTCGATCGAAGGGATCTGATACGCGTGTTATGCTCGCTCGTCTGTATATATGTATATATGCTCCAAGTACCCTTCGAAACATCGAGGAGCATTGAGAGAGGCATCAATGGAACGTCGCGACGCATTAATCGAAACAGATGATTCCACTTGTCTGTGATATCCGTGTAACAGTTCGTGTCCGCCGCGTTGCGTGACTTCTCTCTAATTTTCACGTCGGTCGGAAAGCGTGTACATATGGCACAAACAAAGAGTGTCGAATGTGTATCTATCGGTCGATCGTTTTCGTGCGTCAATTATAGTCTGTTCGATCGGGCAATTGAATGCATTTCTCATCGAAATACACGCTAGCGCGACATACCAATCGCATCACGTTGCACGTGACGTATTTGACAGTGCGTGTCGTATTATTCCGAGAACTTTGTATTATTCGCGAGTGTATCGGAATCGGGAGTGTGTATCCGCGAGTGCGTCGATGAACATCGAGATGCAACGAGCGATCGCTTCGTGACGGATTAATCGAGAGGGAGAGGATCTGCTCCGCGCGTCTGCTAATGGTGAGTGTTTGCATGTGTACATTTATACGTTGCCATTTAGTGTCAGATTACTCTTCAAAACTTTTTATTGTACGTAATATATTTTCAATGTGCACGCAGATCAAATATAATATTTTCTATTTTATTTTGATATTATTGCACTTAATATAAATCTAACAAATAAAACTTCAATAAATCGCGCATCTAAAGCTATGAGAAAAAAAAGTTTTGTAATTATAATATTATATAATATTTATATATTTATAATATATAGATTGAATTAATAATATATATTGATATACGTATATTTATATATTATATGATATATTGAATATGACTTATAAATTTTCAGGAAAATAGATTAAAATAAATTTATCGTTGTTATAAAATCATTAATGATAAATAATACTTTGTTATTTTATTACGCTGCTCGACACTTTGCTGTTCAATTTATGATTCTGCTCGGTGGTCGTAATCTGGTTCGAAGATAATTTACTATGATCGACGGTATCGCATATATCATTTCTCTGTAACAAAGTCCCACCTGCGGAGTAACTCCCTTACAACATACGCAGGGATTATGGAAATTTGAAAGCCCGCAGCTCTCTACGCTGTTTGAATAAATTCGAGGTTTAGGAAGTACTGCCAAAGTGTTCGCCTCGGATTTACTATTCTTAAGACGAGCTCGGTGCAATACGCTACAAAATTCAATGTCAATATGCGTGTCATGTCGATGCATCGGGAAAGATTGGAGAACTTTCAAATAAATAAATATTTTCCATCTACTTTCGAAGTATGATGACACTAAATGGCATAACATTCATGAGAATAACACGATTTATTTGATTCTATTAAAAGAGGAAAATTGTCTTACTCGAACATTTATTGCTTTTCTTATATAAAGATAACCGAAAATTTTATTATATGAAATATACTCTGTTTTCTTTCCTTCCGGTTTTATTTTTAGGCAAATTTTAACAAAAAATTTTATCTACCTGCATATTTATTATTTATCACGCAATTAATTACATATTCTCCTTTTTGTATATTTAATTATTACATATTTAACAACATTTTAGTAGATTATTTTTTTTTCAATGCAATAGCAATATTTTTTTCGGGAACAATTTCATTTGAGTCATTGATGTATCTTTGGCCCACAAAATTCAATTTCTTCAGCAACGCCGGGAAGGCAGCCGAACGGAAGGAACGAATTCATGAGTGGATACGATTTATTGCTTGTATTTACATAAACAGGAAACATGACACAAATGTGCCGGTCCGCGAAAAATTCGCAATTTATGCGACACAGTCGCTGTTCGCGCATTTGAGCCACTAAATGGAACGTTCGGAGGGAGCGGAATAATAAGCGGGAAAAAAGTTTGCCGCTTGAAAGCTCCCGTGAAATGAGAATTATGTCGCGAAAAGAAGTATCCGCGCGAGTTATACATTATACGTTGCAGAAACGTTACTTCGAAGATAGTGTATATTTAGCGTTTAATGCGTTCCGCGACTAACGGCAAATATCCCTTATATAATACCAAATAATGATTTATGCGAGGACAAGGATATGAAAAAATTTAGGTCAAATTTTGCTACAGATAATATATATATATCGTGCGAACATGTAACTTCTCCATTACAAAATCACACATTAACCAAGAAACGAAAATAAAAGCAAATAATAAATAATCATATTAATCTATAAAATTTGTATTTATATTATTTAAGTTAATACCTTTACATCATCTACATAAACTATGAATTTATAAATAATTAATTAACTTTACGCATGAATGCGCGAAAGCAAGCATTTTCTGAAAATTTCCACATGAAAAATTTCCAAGCACATCAAGCTCTTAGGGATATTTCAAGATATGTTCTCAAATGCGTTTTCAGTGCAGTCGCAAACGATATACGTTATATAATGCTCGTTGTATGCATTTCACGAGAACACCGGTTTACGTTTATTTCGCGCTCGTGAAGGCCAAGACGGCGAAATGTGCTTTTCAATTTTGATTCGACGATTTGAAGGAGACGACGGCCGCGTTCCAACGTCACGAGCTCTCGTGGGATTTCTCGTAGAACGTTCTTGCAAAGGACTCGTAAAAAAAATATTGAAATTCATCAACTGTGCACAGAAAACGCTTCGTTTGCTCTCAGTATGCATTTCTCATTCTCTTTCTCTCTCTTTCTCTCTCTCTTTACTTTCTCTTTCTTTACGAGCAAATTTATTGAACGCGAAATTGAGAGGCTTCTCTGCTGGCCACGGCCATTCACGTGCGCGCTTCGCGTAATCCTATATCCGTATGCGTTATTTATCAAGTCAAGAGTCACATGATTCAACGTCAATCTCGCGACATATTGCAGTCTTCTCTATTTCGGCTGGAAATGAAATTCGACCATGCGTATATCTTTTTACAGCTAAATCATCTTTTATGGTGTCGCTTCACGATGTCATTTACGTATAAATAAAATTGCATTTTTGTAATACTTGTACGTGCTCTGCGTGAAACACGCTATATAATTACGCTTCTAATGTATACGTACATGCAATAAAACTGAATAGCGGCCGGTAGTTGTCATTATGCAGGAATAATAAATATTATATTAATAAATATTATTAATATTTATTTTAATAAATGTTATATTAATAGAGTTACTTAATGATGTAATAATAAACACTCATACACACACAATGATATAAACATTTATATCGTGTTTTTCTCTTTCAAACATTTACATCAGATAGATCAGGGATTAATTTCACGCAGGAATCACAGCTTGCGCAATGCATGAAATGTGTAGACTACTTTTGCCTACGTTCTGTACTCTGGCAATGACATGTAATTTCCGGACACCCAGAAAACTCGCGCGTTTGATCTCAGATACGGTATGCCGTCGATGAAATATTAGAGATGCGTAATCTTTGTGTCGTCGACTGATGGAATATCAGCCGATTGGCTGCCGTCTCAGACGGTCTGTGACATTCCTTTTGAGAATAAGTTCTTAAATCGTATTTACAAGAATTTTTTAATATATATATATTTTTAAAACAACAATTATTGACATTAATATAATGATGACTGAAAAATTACATATTTTTTACCGCATTTTTTAATAGCATTGATGAAAAGAAATATTGCGTGCATAATATAACAATATCGGTTTAAGTCATATAATTGAAATGTCACATTCACAAATTATATTTTATCTAAGCAATTAGTGAGATAATTAAGTTGGTTTGAAAATTGAAAATAAAAATAGTTGACGTTACTCTTAAACCCAATGTCACTTCGATTACAAACATAATAACAGTGTAGTTAATAAACTTATAACGACCTCTGCAAATTGTAGTAATTAAGATATATGGAGTAAATTTATTACGAGGAAGATGGCAAAACTGTTTGCATTATAGAGTAAATAAAATATCGCCTGCAAACGTTTGCAATATTGTGACAAACATGTTTGTCTATTTTATGACAAACTGTGAAACTGATGAAAATTTCATGGAAATAGCTCATAAATAATGATAAATATAGTTTCATAAATAATTAAGAATTCTCACTTTATTTTTAATATAATTATTTTTCTAATAATAAATTTTACCCGGAAAAAACATTTTTACGTGAAACGCTGATTGATTTTAAATAGCTCTGTTTATAGTCTAAAATAATCTTGTATAGTATTGAATATAACTTTTAAAAAAGAATTCTTTAATTATAAATATTATTGGAACATTTTTTAAATCAATTTATTTTGTTAAAAAAAATACACATATTTATATGAGATATTTGTCGATTTTAAAAGTATTGTTTATTCTAAAACAGTTTTTATATAAAACATTTTTAACTGTAGATAAATTAATTTTTATGATAGGGGAAAGATTTTATAATGGCAATATGGACGTTGTGCCATTCTCTCTAAATTGCGCTATAGAACATGTAAAAAAGTTGGGTGACAGCTGAAAGAAATCGGCTGCTATCTCTCGCGAGCCACTTAACGTTGCTTAAAAAGGCTCAGTCATTTAATTTGTAGTTTCTCAACATTCCACGAGAAAAGTTTCCGCGGCTGATTAATTTCCCTCTTCCTGTACGCGCCTCTTATCTCAGCCGCCATCCCATCTCTGCGATTTACTCTTCTATTTAAAGGCAATGGCTATCTGAAAGAATCTCATTTAACTTCACAAACATATATACATATATATATTTCACAAATGCAAAATCGACATTGTATTAAAATATCAAAGATTAGAAATTTCGTTCAATACAAAGGAATGATATTGTGCTATAATGTTCAATAATATTCAATATACAATAATATATAATAAAAAATAAAATATGCACGATGAATTAAATTAAATTACTAATTGCTAATTAAAAAATAAATAAATATGATAAATAATTACATGAATAAATTTTTAGATAATCTTACAATTAGTTTTTCTTAAACATATCGTATTTCGAAAAAATATTTACGAAATTTAATTTGCTTTTATTTTAATTGATTTTATTTATAGTTTTTACGATATAAATAAAAATGTATCTTCTACATAATAATTTAATTTTTATAGTATAAATAAATCAACTTTACAATATAAATAAACTTTTGATATTTGAAAAGAAATTACTTTATTTGATTACTTAAATATTATCTTGAAAAAATTGTGCTGGGAGAAGAAGGCGCACAACGGCGTGGATGTATACATGTATCTATTTTCCTACACGTATGAGAAACATACATACAATTCTGTAGGAGTTCATTAAAGATACTATTCGCTTTGGTTATCCACACCTAGCCCAAAAGGCAGGTTAGACACCTAGTGAAAAGGGAGTACTTTCATGCTTGCGTCAAGCGTAAACGTATGTACGGTGCCTAACAACCTAGGCGACTGATTACAAACATTGGGCGACTCTCTCTCATATAGCACTTTCTGTAGTCCATACCGTATCTAATGATGATAGCTTTTGCGTGTTGCCTTTGAACGCGACGAGGACGAGAGTTGATCTTTATATCACGCTTTCTATCTTCATTCAACCATTTGACACTTTTGCTATTTATGGATTTAATTACAGAAGAGTCCAAAGTAAAATCTCATGCATATATTAAAATGTATATTTATCCCTTGAATTTTACAGTTCTATCTGTAAGAAAGTGACATTAATTAACTAGTAAACATTATAAACATTTTTAATTTATTAATACAGAATCAATATAATCGATTGATGATGAGTGCAATAATTTGACTAGATATTAATTTTGTAATAGGACACAAATCGGATGTTTTATTCATTAATTGATATTAATTAATTAATTAATTGTTAGTTAATCATTATATTCGTATGTAATCGAACGATAATCATGTTTATGTAGACATTATTAAGTTTTCATGCATATCGTAACATAATTATCTGATATAGAATTGAATTACCACAATTCAGTTAGAAAGCGGTATCAAACCCCATTGCAAGCATGATGCATTTCATTTTGTTTCCACATTCACAGTCAATGCAATAATATTGATAATAATAATCTGTACAGAGATACATTTAATGTGATCAATTCTATGCGTGTTACTAATATATAAACGTTATTTCATATCATTCTATATTGACGTACTGCTTTTCATTCCAACACTTTTCCGCTCTAATAACGTTGTTATTTGCTTAACGTGTCTTTGATGTAACAATATGCTTTTATTCATATAAGTGTAATATGACGTTGATACAGGACACAACAGAAGTGTAATATAACGTTGACACAAACAGAAATAAACACAATGTCCATGAATATAAGCAAATAATATTATTTATAGAGAATAAAAAATATAATCTTCAAAAAATAAATCAAAATTCGTAATTTTATCAAAAATAGATATTAATAAAATATTTGTAAACTTTCTATATAATCATTTATATTATTTCTAACGTATATGTGCATGCTCTGCATTCCGAATCAGAAAGGACAGCATTGTCAGAACGACCCTCACAGAACCATGTAAAAGCGACACGAGCGTACTGTATAAATCATATTCCTTACACAATGCTTGAGCAGAAGTGTGGTAACGTATGCTTGCCAGCACTGCAAAAAAGAAAAACACGGAGCACAAGGCAAAGTAAATATACAAATAAATATACACATTTCTTATATTAAATATATATTGTCGATTAATTTGAATATATGTTGTACATTTTGTACAATCTACAATGACAATAAATAAATAATCAAGGTAGGAATATTATGTCAAATGCGGTTGAATAACTTTTTGCGTATAATCATTTTTTACAATTTTTTACAATATAAACGTGCATAAAATGATTTATAAATATAAATATAAATTGAGAGTGTTAAACAGGCAATAAGAGCCACATCGCGGATGACAGCGCGTTATCCCGACGAAACTAAATTTTTTCGTTAGGATTAAAACCTATGCACAAGGCAGTAAATTTTTACTTAAACACGGCCAAGAGATTTAAAATTGAAATGATTTATAAAATTGATGAAAAATTCAGGCGATAAATGAAAATAGACAGAGAGACTCGGGTCCGCGCGAGTTCTTGTCGCAAAATCTATATGTACCATCACGATAAACACATCTCGGTCAAATACTGTAGGAAAGTCGGAGACGCAGATTATAGGGTCGCGAGCGACATTACTCCCCGTGTACGACGGCGTCGACGAAGTTTACTACGCGCATACGCTCCAACTCCCCCGGATCAGTAAGCGCAGTTTTGCCGGAACGACCTCGGTGCCGCGTAAAAGCGACACGGGCCGCGCTGTGTGTAAATCAAATCCCGAACACGGGGTGTGCTCGCCTGTGCAGTATTCTCTCCTGCACACCCTTCGTCCACCAGTTTATACCCTTTTCCCGCCATGTCTCCTCCCTTCCCACCCTTCTTCTCTCGTCCTATATGTACACGAACGCGGGCGTACGCGCACTTGTTTAATGTACAAAAGGCAGAATGCACCCGGGAGAAGTATTCCCATTATATCGCTTTGGTCCGTATACCGGTCCTATTGCGGGATCGCGGTTTTCCCGGTATACAGGCGCGGCATGTCCGAACGAAAAGAGGTACACGATGTGTGTTAACACACGTGCTCCTGCTTTCCCGCGCAGTCATGCAGGTCCGGTTTGACTCGACAGAGTTATATACCGGCAATCGTCCGTGGTTATAAAGGGCGCGATATGCGAATCGATGGCCCGAACGTAAAATATATATACCTACTACGTATTGGTTCGCCGATAAAATCATCGGGCAGTCTTCCAATATCGGGTAATACGCGGGATTCGATCTGCTCCATATATATATAGAAATATGTCGTTTTGTTGCTTGCCGACGAGACGGAAGAAATGGAGAATAATTAACTCGCGGTTAAATTCAATTTTTGTCGACTTATAGAAGGCGCCAAGTATCATTATGCGCGTAATGGGGTGTATAGATTTTTGGCAAAACTCGAATAATCACGTCGCCCTCTCCCTGCGGCGCCGTATTTCTCCTCCGCCAGTCAAGTAAAGTAAATAAATGCATCAGTATTATACACAGGGGTCTAATATACAAAGGTTTTACGGTTAATCTGCAACATTGCGCGCACAATAATACACGCACCGTTTTATTTCCTAGTCAACTATTTGCGACTCCGCATGTATAAATGTTTCACTGACACAAATTTCCTTCGTGTGTATATGCGTAAACATGCGAAGCGAGAATTTTTTTCGACCAACGTGAGATCCAAAAATAAAATTCTTTTATTTCATCTTATTCTTAACAATACGACTTCCGATCTTGACAATTCATTTTTACCGTTAGCGTTCACTTTAACCGCGTATCTCGTATATTTTTTTATACTTTTAATGGATAAGTAAACTTATACTTTTAATAATATTGACATTTCATTAAAAATGTTGAATGTATAAATGCGTATGTATACATTATAATATTTAACGATACAACATATCGATTATCCGAATAATTATTTTGCCGATATAAGTTAATGTCTCGAAATAATCCACGACCTACATAGACGAGATAGTCGCGTTTATATGAAATAAACCCGAAATATACGATTTAAAGAAATTGCACGAAGAGAGGGCTACATTGCCCAATTATACGCGATACGTAGGAAACACGTATCGCGCATCTGCGCTTGCTTCATAATTGGCCATGCTCGAGTGATACATATTCTGTTTATAGGATGATAGCGGCGAAACAGAAAGCGGAGCGGATTCGGCGTGGCGTAATTGGCGAAGCGACGTGAAGAGGAAAACGAGAGGTCGGAAGTATCTCCATGGTTGAGCTCGGAAGGGTAGTAGTCACGTCGCTGTTTATACTCGTGCGGTTGCAGTCACAACAGTTGTTAAGGTAAGTTTGGTTCCGTTGTACCCATGCGTGCTGCGCGTTAGTCTACGGATTACGGCCTTCTGTGAGCCGGCGCCATTACGGAGCGCCAATTTTCCTGCACAAACCAGGCGCAAATGACGCGAAAACGAATGACTTTGACGGCAGCCGTCTGTTCTGTCGAAACGTCGAGGAAAACACGTATATGATGAAGGATTTTCGGATCGAGCGGTAGGATTAAAGTCTTCTTTTTTTTTCGTTCTGCTTGTGCGAAAGTCACCTCGAAAAACACGCGTATACCGCGTATGCACGAACCGTGCACGCGAGAGAATGCACGCAAATTTCTTTCGGAAGGGAAAGTACAACGTAATTCGAGTGCTATTCCGTTCACGTAAAACGCAACATCGCTTCTTCTGTACGCTATGCATACAAATTCCGTAAAATACAGCTATTATAGAATATAGGGATGCATTCTACGATGCAGGTGCGATAATATCGTAATACATTGCTCACGCGTATATAAGTCTGCGTTATCTGACGCGTCGGGAAATATGTAACGTGTATACTCTGTTGCGTATTAGCCCTTGGAGGATAAACGCAAGTTTACAGCTGACACATTCGCCGATTTAACGTTGCAGATAAAAGTTAATTGGATCTATATTCGATCGTGTACAACGGGCGATTTATTTAAAATAACATTATTTTTTTCGATTTATTTTCTATATTAAAAATTAGCTTATGGGCATATAAAAGTTTTGCGAAATATATATATATATATGTGCGACGAATATAATGCACATATATATTATAAAATTTTGCGTGTTCGTTATCTTGATTTCATTTTTTTTTTTTTTGCGCCATATTGCGAGGAAAAATGTATGAGTTATTCGTTTCGAACGAAATTCGAGAGAAATATAGCAAAATAAATTTTTCAATCCAACAATCATCGCTCTATAATGGCACAGGATGCAAAGGAAAAAAAAAAGCTAATTCATCATTCGAAATAAAAAAAGATGCACGCATCAGTTAGTATTCCTATTATTCTTCGCATAGTCTTACATATCGGAAAAATATTAATTAGTCTCTTTTGCCGGATGCACGTGGATGAATGCTGTTCTCACAAAGAGTTACAGTAACGCAGTTACAATGAAAGTCGCTGCCGCTCGTTTCATTTCCTATTGTAATAACCGCGCCTTTGATCATAGCTACGGATTGTTCAATCGATGATAAGTAAGTAAGCCGTGCTGCTACGCGCTGCTTCCGCGATCCGATCGTGCGGTAATGGCTAATCTCCCTTGCGAAAACGGTCGATACGGCTGTTAGAAATGATAATAACTGCGCACTTGGGAAGTTCTACCTTAACGTGGATTATGCAATTGGCTTGGCTCTATCTGAGCGGTTTAACCACCGCCTGCGCAAATATATAGGTCTGTAGATACGAACAGATATGAATATAAATAGATATGCATAGCGGGAGAAGGGATGGATCTAGAAGCTATTTACTTCAGAAACTTCGTTATTCGATTCGCCGTTAACACGTGTCACCCCATATCATAACTTGTATTTTCCTACGAAACAATATTAATTTAGGACGTGACCGCATTTTCCGTAGCGCGCGCACACGCGACGAATACGTCATTATTCTTCGTCACGATCCACTTCCAAGTAATGTAGCCATAACTTGATCACCGCCAAGTGTTCGAAACAATTTACGAACGAAAATTAATCATCGCCGCAAAGATCGCTTTGAGCACGCAATTTGCGTGCTCGAAAGTGTCAGGGAGGTCTATTTCGGTTAGATTTCCATCATGGTAACGGTGCTAATTAGGACCTACACGTGAGTCGGATATTTGTGTCGGCAATCACGATCTAAGCAGTCTCTAGATGACACGTCACATGTTAAAATTATTTGCGTGGGAAAATTATATAAAGATTTCTTTCCACCTCTCTATGTTTGACTTGTAAAAAAGTCAAAAACGTAGATTTAATGCGCTAGAAACACGAGTATGTACGCATGTTGTATTAATCTTTCATATTACAGATAAAGTGTTGCGGATTTATTTAAATCCGTGGCTAAAGCCGTTTACGCACCGCTTTTCTGCCTGTTCTACTTTATTGAGCTGGCAATTACTTTCAAGTAATTTTTATTAATTAATCCGGCTTTATGATGAATTAATGACCCATCTGGGCGGGATGAACTATTCCATTCTAGGACGTTACCGTGCCATTTCCCGTATATCCATCTTCATTTTAGTTTCACCGTGATCGTCCATCCAGAACTTTACCGCCATTATTTTGTAATCTGAGCTTTACTTCGCTATTTCACTGTAACATCCTAACGCGAAATATTTTTCGTTACATCCGTGTCTCACGAATTTAATTTATTATTTTACGTATATATTGTAATAATATGACTATCAAAAATGTATTGGTTAGAATCGAATATTTCAATACATTTCTCTTTATCATTTATGCGAGTACATATCATAAATTCATACATAATTAATATTGATAGAAACACAGATAGATAGAGATTTGATAGAATATAGTATATAATGAATTGGTTAATATATTCAATGCATGCCTCATTAAATGATGTTCATTCACTGTCAACAGTGCATCTGATTGATATGACATGTAATTTATATTGGATTTACAGTTTATTTGTAATTATTATTAATATTATTGTATTTGATTAAATAACTTTGATAATATTTTTTAATCGTTTTTTTTACATTTTTCATTAAACATCATGATGCATACAATATATCATTGACGATTTTCGATTACAAAGTTAGGTTTTACATAATACAAAGTTGACAAAGATTTTTTAATCATTTCCTATAAGCTTCTTGCGGAGGATTTTAAACTATATTTTGCCTAATGGCAAGTAAATACTTAAATTGCATTAAAGCTATGAAGGATAATCTGGACCGATCGATCGAGTTTCGAGTAGAAAGAGCCACAAACGATGGTGGGATGTAAATTTTGCGTGAGTTCCTTCGCTTTGGGGGACCTGCAAGTGGGTAAACAATGCTGCACGAAGAGCATAAGCCCTGGCTTAAGCCAACAAAACTAGTATGAAAGGAAGGGCGATTAAAACCCTTTATATACGCCAGTCGATAGCTCTATGAAAGAGGAGGCTACATCCACGTGCAAAGTGAGCGTCGCCGATGCATCAGTATTTCATACGATCGCGAGAGAGCGTACCTTGAAAATAATTCTCTCCAGAGAATCGATTTCGCAAAATACCTCGCACCTCTTTTCAGCGCGTATACAAATAAAAAAAATGCTAGGTTTAAGGCAACTCGTTACACGATAAGCGGCAAGCGATCCTTCTTCATAGCTTCCCTCTCACATCGTTCTTCTTTATGTCCTTTTTCAAAGGACCAGCGATCTGACATCGCCAATGAGCCGACACATGTCTAGGTGTATCACGTTCTATTCACGTTTTCTCGCTTTACCATCTGTTTTGTATCGCGCAGATAATAACCGTGAAAGATACATTTGCCCCGCTGCGTTGTGTGGAAAAATCTTTTCATATTTTAGCTTTATATTTAAATATTGTTTTTTAAATCAGTTTATAATCTATAATATTGTCTCTTGTCAGATTAAATCGAACGATTAATGTCTATAAAATTAATTGAATTTCTATATATTTTACAATTTAATTAATATATATATATTTAATTTAAAATTTAAATTAAAAAAGGATTATTGAAAATATCAATAAATTTATTTTGTCAATTTAAAACATACAACGTATTATTTGCGTCGATTCAGAAAGCATTAACGATACAATTAATTAGTTCTCTTTATTGGATTAATATTTGCAAAGTAAAATGATTTCTACGCGTAGCGCAGTAGTTGGTGATAAGCCATGTATCGATGAAAATCAATACGCATTTAAACAGAAGCATTCGGAATATATTATAATTTATCGATACCTTTATCGCTAACACAACAACATATCCCTCCATATTTTTGGAAAATCCGAGCACTTTAATCGGATGTTCGCGAATCGTAGGAAATTATTGATAACAGACTTTTATCGGCCAACGGAAAAGCTCATCGCTCGCGATTATTAATCAATTTTACTGCCATTCAATGCGCAACACGACCAGAGCGAGTTAATGAACCACTGCTAGATACACAATTGAAAAGAGGTGTTGGCGAAGCTGTGTTTCATCGATAACCGTTTGTGATCTGAATTATGTAAAATGAATCTCCCTACGGGCAAAGAAGATAAAATATTGTTTTAAATGGGATTATTACTCGTTTTTCCAATGTCAATTCGATACCCTTATTATATACGATCGATAGGCATCGATCGCTTCTTTAAATATTTTCGGCGTCTCGCGCTTTATTTACTATCGATACCATCCCGATATTGCTGTGCTTTCATTCAATTTTGCCGCAGTTGATTAAGCAACAGCAACGCTGGCAGCGCTCAACCGGTTTAATACATTTAATTACATTCGTCGCTTTGATAAACACCTCGGCAAGATATACAAACGGATTACGTAATGGACTGTTGATAGCTACGATCCATCGAGTCGGTTCGGCATGATGTTCGCTCAATTTTAACACGACTGCCAATTTATGCTAACAATGGTTATACTGAAGTAGTGCGGTTCATTTTCCACACTCACGTATATGAAATATTTATTCGTACGTTTATTTCATCATTTATCATTCGCGTTTATTTTATTATTTATTATTTATTATTTATTATTTATTATTTGCTTATTTTATTTTCCATACTCACGTATATCCGTTTGCTCTGTAATTTCGAGTTTACAACGAGGCGACTAAAATAAATTCAGGATCAACTCGATCATTTATTTAATATATTTAAAAGTAAGAGAGTGTCACAAACGTAAACATCATCTAAATATTAATTCGCACCGCTGTGATATCGCAAGTAGAGAGAGAGAGATATCTCTGTAGAGTGACCGTCGGAAAGCAATTCTAGCGCTGAGCCGAGGCAAGATGTTACGTATTTCATATTCACTTGCCGACGC